AACAATGGGAAGCCACTAGAGCCTTTTAAGTAGGAGAGGGATACAATCCGATTTGAGATTTAGCAAGATGTCTTTGGCTGCAGAGTGGCAAAGGACTGCAGTCAGGGGGAGAAGACTGGGGATGAGTTAGGAGGCCACTGTGTCAGTCCAAGTGAGATCACCATGACTCACACCAGGGAAGCAACGATGAAGATAGAAACAGTGAGATCAATCTGAAATGGATTTCGGAGGTAGAGTCAGTAGAACTAAATGTGGTGCGTGGTAGAGGGAGTGTCTAAGGGTGACTGATTCCAAGGTTTTGGGGATGAGCAACTTGGTGAATGGCAGTGGTATTTACCAAGAATAACAGAGCAAAATTTCTGGAGGTAAAAGAAGTTAACGACTTTTCCACTTAAAATGGCATGCTGAGTGCTGAGCAGATGAATGGAAAAGACCCCCACACACCGAACACAGCTCATGGTATTCCAGAATACAAGCTAGAGAGATGATCCTGAACTTTCCAGAACAGAAACAGGTAACCAACAAAGAAGAGAAGAACAGCACCCTACGGGCATTTGACCTCAACCAAACATAACTGACTTCTTGAAGACAATCGAGCAACGTGGACGCATTCTGAATAAAAACCATTTTGCACCTTGCAAAACTACTGAAAAAAGTATATAGGCAAAATTAAAGCCTTTTTAGACACCCAAGGATTCAGAAATTTTACTTCCCATGATTCTCTTCTGATGGTGCATGCTAGCAAAACTGGGGTGAAAATTGGAGATAAAAGACACAGGATCCAAAAATGTTAGTACTTGGCTTGACTATAAAGAAAATAAGTCCCAGGATGGCTAGAGTGCAATTCATCTATTTTAGAACAGAACATAAGTGGGCTCTAGGTAGAACATTTTTGGGAGGGATCCAGTGGATTCTAGTCAATACATACAGTAAATAAGAAGTGTGCAATATTAATGATAATGGCAGAGGGGGCATTTATTTCTTCTCCCAAGAACAAGGAAGAGACATTCAGAAACTCTAGGAAGAACTAAAAGCTATCCAAGAAAATCATCATCTAAATATGAAGCAAACTGAAATTTGATAGGACTTTGAAACTCCGTGCTGAGAACATTCTTCTTTGAGAGACCTCTAGAGATTAGGACACTGGATCCATTGGAAGAAGGAAATGTAATCCTAGCATGTTTACTTGCCTCTTTGGTGACTAATACGTGTATGTTAATTATGACATAAATGCTACTGGTTTTCAAATGTTACAGTTAACTCGTAGACCAGGCATGAATAAAATTAATGATGGTAACAGAGTAGAATGAATATATATTCATCCTTGTCTATGGAAAAAGTAAGGCATAGCTGATGCAAGTTGGAACACTGAAGTCTCAGCTTACAGAGCAGGAAGTCAAGAGAAATGATCTAGAATTCACAAAATAAAAGTTAAGTTTCACTAACACTGTTTAAGTTAACAGAGCCAATAGAGGAAGTAAACATTTTTTTAAAAGACTTTATTTATTTATCTGAGAGAGCGAGCCAGAGACAGAGAGAGAGCACAAGCAAGGGAACATCAGAGGGAGAGGGAGAAGCAGGCTCCCTGCTGAGCAGGGAGCCCGATGCGGGGACCGATCCCAGGAGCCTGGGATCATGACCTGAGCCGAAGTCAGATGCTTAACCGACTGAGCCACCCAGGCGCCCTGAGGAAGTAAACATTTTAATATAGACACCAATATTTGGGAGCTTGCCAACAAATTAGGTAATTGGATAAAATAGCCAAATTCTTAGAAATAAATACCAAAACTGACTCAAGGAGAAATTAAGAAAATCAGAATAGATCTATAACAAACAAAGTGAATGACCTAGTAATTAAAAAACTTCCCACCAAGAGAAGCTCAGGTCCAGGTGGCTTCACCACTGAATTCTATCATACATGAAGAATTAATATCAATCTCTCAAAAGTCTTTCAAAAACAGAAGAGGAAGGAACACTTGCCAAATCATTCTGATGTTACTAGTTTTGTCATTATACCCCCAAAAAGACATCACAAGGAAAGAAAACAACAGGCCATTATCTCTTATGAATATAGATGTAAAAATCCTCAAAGAAATATTAGCAAGTTGAGTCTAGCAATATATAACAAGGATTATATACCAGGATCAAGTGAGATCCCAGGAATGCCAGGTTAGCTTAACTTCTAAAAATCAATTAATCTATAGAATAAAGGACAAAATGATATCATCTTAATGGATACAGAAAAAGCATTTGAGAAAATCCAACACGTTCTCATGATAAAGGAAAAAAAAATCATCAAACTAAAGGAAACTTGCTCAATCTGATGAAGGCTATCTATAAAAAACCCACAGCTAACATCATATTTAACAGTGAGGACTGAATGATCTTCCTCAAAGATCTAGAATAGGCCAAGGGTGTCCAAGCTTGCCATTTCTACTTAAAACTGTGTTATAAATTTTAGCCAGGTCAATTAGGCAAGAAAAAGAAATAAAAAGCCATCTAGATTGGAAAGGAAGAAGTAAAACTATTCATAGATCACATAAACTTGCATCTGCAAAAAACCTAAGGAATTCACAAAAATTATTGGAACTAATAAACAAGCTCAGCAAGGTTGCAGGATAGAAGATCAATATACAGAACTATAAAAAAATCATTAACAGTGACCATTCCAAACACAAAATTAAGGAAATAATCACACTTTATAACAGAATCAAAAGGAACAAACTACTCAGGAAAGAATTTTTTTTTAAAGTTTATTTATTTATTTGACAGAGAGAGACAGTGAGAGAGGGAACACAAGCAGGGGGAGCTGGAGAGGAGAAGCAGGCTTCCCGCTGAGCAGGGAGCCCGATGCGGGGCTCCATCCCAGGACCCTGGGATCATGACCTCAGCCGAAGGCAGACGCTTAACGACTGAGCCACCCAGGCGCCCCAGGAATGAATTTAACTAAAGAAATGCAAGGGGATTAAGAGTACACTTATTGTGATGAGCACTGAGTACTGTATAGAAATGCTGAATCATTGTATTGTACACCTGAAACTAACATAACCCTGTATGTTAATCATATTTCAATGTAAAAAAATAAATGCAACACTTTTATACTCTAAACTATAAAATATTAATAAAAGAAATTAAAGAAGATCTTAATAAGATTCTATGTTGATGGATCAAAAGACTTAGTATTGTTAAGATACTTCCTAGATTGATCTACATGGAATATTATCCAGCCATGAAAGGAATGATATATGCTATAGCTCCAACATGGGTGAACCTTGAAATTATGCTAAGCGAAACAAGCTATCAATGAACTAGGGATATAAGATTAGTAGGAAATAGAGAAGCAACTACCTGGAGGACTAAATTTAGAAATTGGCAAAAACAAAACCCCAAACCCCCCAAAACTCCAAAAACAGAAAGCAAGTATCTGGAAAGGGGTAGACTGGGGAGGGCTGGCTGGAGCCGAGAACTGTTGCTTTTCATTTTGAATTCTTTATTATCCATATTTTAAAAATGTGCATCACTTGAAATTTTAGGAGACTATAAAAATATACATAAAAGTAGTGCGTACGATAATTCTTTCCCTCCCATAGATACCCATTCTTCTTCATCTTTTTTTGAAAAGAGCATGGAGCCCGACATGGGGCTTGATTTCATGACCCTGAGATCAGGAACTGAGCCGAAACCAAGAGTCACATGCTTAACCGACGGAGCCACCCAGGCGCCCTCATCTTATCCATTCTTTAGCACCGAATCAGCTTCATCTCAACGACCCCCAAGCACTAGGCATAGACTATGGAGTCCTTTCATTACATAATGAAGAGACTGCTCTTGGAGATACATTACCTGGGCTTGGCTCTAACCTGTCAGGTCTTTATTTAGCTTTGTGAAATGTTGTCGTTTTGCCAGTGTTATAGTTTCGATTAGTCATCCGTTTGCTCATTCCTTCATTTAATGTATATATTTCTTGAATACCTACACACAGTGCTAGGAACTGGGGATATTCTGGTGACAAAGACACCCAATCCCAAGGAGCTCTAATCTCTTAGGAAGGCACAGTAGTCACTAGACAATTATAAGGCGATGGACATAAAGAAGGGCACTCTAGGAGTGCATGGGAGGGGAACCTACAATCTTGGAAGTCAGCAGGGCTTTCTGGAGATGGTAACTTGAAATTGGGATCTGAAGGATGAATAGAAGCTCGCCTGGTGAAGGGGATTCAGGAGGGGGCATAGCAGCCTTGGGAGAATGGCTGCCATGTAGACTGCAAAAGAGGGGATTTAAGGGAAGGCAGGCAGAATGGCAGACCCCCAGAGATGTCCCTGTCCTAATACTCAGGGCCTGTGAGCACACGACTTTACAGGGCAAAGGTTCTGCAACGTGAGTTAATGTAGGACCTCAAGATGGGGAGCTTATCCTGGATTACCTAAGTGGCCCCATATAATCATAGGACTTTTTATAAGGAAAAGAGGAGGCGGTAAGACCCATTTCTGATTTCTGATCTCCAGAACTGCACAATAATACATTAGTGTTATTTTAAGCCTCCAGATTTGCGGTAATTCATTACAGCAGCAATAGGAAACTGATAATGGAAAGAGGGCGGGAGAAATAGGGAGGGACGGGAGGATGAAGTTCCCCGGATGACATGTTAAGGAGTTTGGACTTTATTCTCAGGGCAGTAGGGGCCTTGAAGGGTCATACTTGTGTTTCAGAAAGATTGCTTCAGGCAAAGTAAGGGGGAAGTGGGGGAGGTGGGTGGCAGGACCAGGTCGCCTCATGAACCTGCTAGCGTGGACTCTTCCACACACCGCCCTGGACGGTCCTTTCTCTGGTGACGGTCCCCTGGTGTTGGCTCAGCAACAACCCTGACTTCTCTATGTCAGAAAATACCGAGTACTCCATACTGAGCTTTGAGCCAGGAAAAGAGACACGGACGGATGGACGCAAGGAGTGAAAGTTCCCGGGGCTGGGGCAGCCTCGGCTCCAAGAGGAGGTTTTCTCACCTTGGTTCTCCACGTCCTTCAGGGGGTCCACCCCTGGAGACAGGATGAAAAACATGGGTGTGGCTGGTCCTGATTCCTCAAATGAGGTCGCAAAGTCTGGCGCTCTTCCCGCCACGTATTGGCTTCCCAACTTCTCCTCGACAAAATCTCTGCCGGGAAAGAAGTACACACACGTATATCCATCACAGAACTGTGACACTTGAGACAGGGAGGCCTACAGACATGGCAGAATGTACTCAAGGTCATGGGCTTGGTAGTTAGTTACAGAGTTGGGGCCAACTTCCGGTTCCCTAGTTGTTAAGTCGACGCTTAGAACCTGTGCCGCTATTGCTGGCCTGCTGGCCTAGATCAGGGCTTGTTCTGAATCCCCATCCGACCACGTCACTGCCAACTCCTCTGGGAAGCCTGGGTGTCCTGTCCCATCACCACCATCTGCCGGAAGATGGCCAGGATCAATGCTTTCTGGAAGCCTGCAGGCAGCTACATCCTTCATACTCCTTATGCCTGCGGTCTCCCTTCCCTGCTCAAGATTTAAGGCCCTCCGCCTTCCTATGCTCTCATGCTCCTATCTCTGTTTCATCTTATTCCACTTACCAACGTTCCTTTCTAAACCTTGCAGCTGCAACCACTTATTGGTCATCTGGCCCAACTCTTGGCCTCAACTCTTCCCCAAAGACACTATTCTCTCTGCAGTCTCTTCTGTTGGGCTCATTTCCTGCCTCTGACCTACCTCAGGACTGAGTTGGGATCACTTTCCTCCTCACCGATGACTGCTATTTCCAAACCATGACTTCTCCGTGCTTGGGGGGCTGTGGACACCACGTTCCCCTGGCTGCATCACCACGACCCCTGCACGTCGATGTCGCCCACTATTCCACCATCACTCTACTCCTTCCCTGAACACTTGACTCATGGACCATCTCCACTAGCCCGAGTGACATCAACATCCATGTGGATAATCCTCCAGATTTTTAATCTTCATATCTTCCCCCATTCAGCCACCTGAATTCATGGCCACACCTTCATCCTTGTCATTACTTGAGGACTTTTTCTATATCTGAAACCTTAAATTGAAACCTCGCACTCTCTAAGACTGTTGAATCACAGATCTGTACCTCTGAAACAAGCGCAATATATGTTAAAAAAAGAAAAAGAAGAAGAAGAGAGCAGGAGGGGAAGAATGAAGGGGGGTAAATCGGAGGGGGAGACGAACCATGAGAGACGATGGACTCTGAAAAACAAACTGAGGGTTCTAGAGGGGAGAGGGGTGGAGGGATGGGTTAGCCTGGTGATGGGTATTAAAGAGGGCACGTTCTGGAGCCCTCATGGAGCACTGGGTGTTATGCACAAACAGTGAATCATGGAACACTACATCAAAAACTAATGATGTAAGGTATGGTGATTAACATAACAATAAAAAATTTAAAGAAAAAAAGTTCGCTGTTTAAAGGAAAAAAAAAAAAAGAAAGAAACATCGCACTCTCTGACTAAAGCCTCCTATCAGCAATTCAACAACTGACCCTAATTCCACCTCTTGTTTGCCTGCATTGGTGTCATGACAGATGTAGGATTTTCAGTATTTTGGTCTCCCTGTTTTCGTTTTTAAAAATCATCCCCTTACTCGGGCACCTGGGTGGCTCAGTCAGTTAAGCATCTGACTCTTGATTTTGGCTCAGGTCATGATCTCAGCATCAGGCTCCACGCTCAGCTTAAGATTCTCTCTCCCTCTGCCTCTGCCCCTTGCCCCCTTTCCTGCATGCTCTCTCTCTCTCAAAAAAAGTTAAAATAAATAAGTAAAATAAAATCATCTCCTTACTCTCTTCGCTTCTTTCCTATACAGTGTAGACTCCATGGCCTATAACCTTAAAAAACAAACAAACAACTTCTTGAGGTACAATTGACATACCATAACACCCATCTATTTAAGTATACTATTCAAAAATTTTTGATAAATTTACTGAATTGTACAGCTTTCACCATAATCCAGTTTTAGAACACGTTCATCATGCCAGTAAGATTGCTCCTGCCTACTCTAAGAATTACTGCTCCCACCATCCAGCCCCAGGCAGCTGCTAATCTGCTTTCAGTCTCTACAGACTGCATGACTTATGATGTCCAGTCATTATCTCGCCATGACTTATGATGTC